CATCCTGCAGGGTAGGACAGTGCACCAATAGTCACCATAATTGAGTCTCCAGTAGGACTTTCAACTTTGTATGAGGCCAGCTGCTTTTTGTCTCAGTGCCCCACCGCCCCCATGGCTTGCACATAATAAGAATTCACTTAAATGTTTGTTGAAGCCCAGGCGGTGTGCTCAGTGGTTAGAGTGTAGACTTGTGCACCAAAGGGTCACAGGTTCGATTTCCGAGCAAGGGCACGCACCTGGGTTGCAGGTTCAAGCCCCAGCTCTGGTTGGGGTGTGTGTGGGAGGCAACTAACCAATGTGTCTCTCACATTGATGTTTCTCTATCTTTCTCCTTCCCTCCCTTCCACTCTCTCTAAAATCAATGGAAAAAAAGTACTCGGGTAAGGATTAACAACAACAACAAAAATGCTGAATCAATTTTACATTATTCTAAGTTGGAGGTAAAATGAAGTTGTATAGACCTACACAGTCTAGATAATGTAGATTATCTTATAGTCTCGACAAACGTATGGCTGGACGCACAGAGAACTTCCCTTGGCCACTAGACTAGTACTACAGCAGTCTAGTTGGTGCCAACATTTTGTCTTAAAAGCAGGGTCTGCTTTTCTCCCTGAGCTGGCTGATCATAGGGAAATGCGTCATGAAGCCAGAGGTGTGAACTGAGGGAAAGGTGGAAACGCAGCAGGGGTGGCAACGTGAGTCTGTGCCACCTGCTCACGCAGCTTACCGCAGGACCAGCTGAGCCTGCTATCTTATGTTCTATTTTCGTTGAATGATAGACCACTGCTGGGCATGCTCAACGTTACTGCCGGTTCACACTGGCCAGTTCGGATCACAAGGACACTTGGTAGCTTGTAATGGACAGTTCAGCAGCAATCTAGGCGCTCTTCTCAAAAAGAGAAAGTTTTTTTGGGGGAACATATGGCTGTGCTCCAAAGCCCTAGAGAGGTCTGTAATTCTGTTTTAGCAATGAAAGTATAATAATTTTATTTCTACCAAAATATATGTAAAAATCTAGTTACAGAAAACTATAGACAACTGAAGTGTAAATATAAGCATATATACATTACTACACACTAATCAAATTATCTACAATCTAAATGTCTATCGAGCTAAAATAATATGTACCTGAGAAGCAAAAGCAGCAGCAAAAACCACGAACATCTCCGAACAGTGATGATACACTCATGAGAAAATGCTGAGTCCTGCTATTGTCTGACAGCAAATGTCTATGAGACAGTATTTGTATATGCCTTTGGGGGAGTTTTTGCAAAATTATAAACCTTGCACGGGAACCAGGCCTTTTAGGAGAAGTACAGTATCAAGTAAATGCTAATAAAACACTGATTTTCATTTGTGAATACAAATTTTTACAAACCTTAACAATTCACTTAGGGGGTTACTAGTAAGAAATGCTTTTTGGCTCCCAAAATGAAAATCTACAGAATTCTGCATTATTTACTAATGGTTAACTGTAAGATAATAGAAAATATATATATTGGTCTCTGCCTTCGGTTCCTGGCACCCTTGTGATTTCCTAAGTGATCAGAGCACTAGGAGCATCTCTTGCTCTAATGAGGTGACTGGGTGGGCTCCTGGATGGGGGCTGGTCACCAGGAAGACCAAGCCATGATTAGAAGCTCGGAATTTTCAGTCCTACCTGCCCCCATCCTCTAGAAAGGGGAGAGTGGATAGAAATGGAGTTAATAATTGATGATACCTATGTGAGGAAGCCTCTATAAAATTACAAAAGTATAGGGTTCAGAGAGCTTCCAGGCTGGTGAAAACATCCACACCAGGAAAGTGACACACCCAACTTCATGGGAACAGAAACTCTTGCGCTTGGGACCCTCCCAGACCTCACCCTGTGTCTCTCTTCATCTGGCTGTTAATCTGTATCCTTTATCATAATCTTTAACACTAGTGGGGGGCCTTGAAACCTCTGACCTATAGCTGGTTAGTCAGAAGCATAGGTAACAAACCTGCGCTTTCAACTGGCATCTGAAGTGGGGGATAGGGCGCAGTCCTGTGGGATGGAACCCTTGACCTGTGGGATCTGATGCTATTTTTAGGTAGTGTGAGGACTGAGTCGACTTGTAGGACACCCAGCTGGTGTTAGAGAAAATCCCGACATATCTGGTATCTGAGGTGTTGTGAGTGTGATAGTAGTGTGAGAGTTAAGGGAAAAACAGGAGGTAGACAAAACTCTTTTCCCCTTTTCAGTAATGAGAGAAAGGCCTTTCTCTTTTGGAATAGCTCATGACACATCAGAAGGCAATGCAGTAAGAGCCTCTTGTATCGTGGAGTCACAGCTACCTTCCCCCTCAAACCACACTTTCTGCTCACTCCTTTCATATGGAGTGCCATTTCTCATAGGTACTGTAAGGAGGCAGAGAGGAGGAGACCCAACTTTCTGGTTGACACAGATTGTCTCTAAATTCAGAGACAAAAGGTAAGTAAATCATAAAATATCTACCTCCGTTTTTATTTTTCAGGTCTCTGATGTGCATAGCTTGTTTTTATTTTTGTAGTCTGTCTTCAGTTATTAGTGATTCCACCTAATGTCTGCAGTGTTTTTTTCAGCATTGTGTTTTCAATTTTGGGGGGGCTTTTAATACTATTCTCAATGTTTTCAGAAGTTACTTTGAATAGGACTCATGGTTTTCTTAACATAACACTTTGCTAATGTGTATTAGGAAGCTTTCATATCACCTGCAATACCCTTCTAAAATACATATCTCTGGTTAACCCCCTACCCAGGAAATGTTCATCCCACCCCCACGATGAACACTAAGAACCACTGACTTTGATGACAATTTCAGTTCATTGAAAGCGGGCTCCTAGGCCTCCCGGTAAGCATGCACCTTCCTCTGGTCTCTCTGTGCCTCACGAAGCAAATGGTTGGAGACTTACCCCACAAGGAGGCAATGAAATTGATTATCCATCACTCATGAAGATTACTCTCCTCATGCTCACATTCCGGGGAAGTCAGTCTCCACATACTCTGAAACTTAGCTTTCTTCTGCAGATACTACCTCCCTTGCAAACCTTTCAAGGGTGGCTGGTTTTGATCTCAGACCCCAGGAAGGCATCCCTGTCCCTCATTTGTAGACATCCAGACTAGTTTCTCCTTGCCTACCCCAGGCCCTTTGAGCTCATGCCATCGGACCACAGCATATCCCCTGCCCTCCCATATATACAGTCCCTATCTCTCTGCTACTACTACAGTCATTTTTCTTGGTGATTTTAATGGTCAAAGAAATGATCCATCTAAAACCCTGATTCTCCTCACCTCCAGTCATCTTTCACAGCACCTCAACTGCCCACTCCCATGGACATATCCTAGATCTCATTACTAATATCTAAATTTCCTCCAAACCCCAATTTCCAGCATCCCATATCCTGACCTCCACTTCCTGAGCTCTTTGACCTCAACAGGACCTCTAAACTACTAAGCCCACTACCTTTTCTCTACCCATCACTCATTTTATGTCCCTTTCACTTAAAGGAGTCACTCCCTTGTATACATCCTTAACTCCCTTGCTCCCTCTGTTCCTTGTACCAACCCTGCTTAAATCCAACTTTCTACGCAGCAGCTGAATGTGGCTGGAGGAAAGAGGCACAGCTAACTGGTTTCACTTTTAACTTCATGACTCATATCCCAAGATAGGCCCTCAGTGCTGCTTGACAATCGTAATACATGTCACTAGTCAGTTCAATGTCTCCCTCTCCTAAGAGACCATTTCATAAAACCTCGCACACTCTTTCCCCTTTCTCGGGGGATAACACTGCTTCTTTCACAGAGAAAACAAGAGCTGTCAGAAGGTAACTTCCACATTCACCCACCACAAATCCCCCTACTTGGATGGCTCTTCTTCCAGATACCCAGGTGGCTTGAGTCTCTGCTCAACTGTCACCTTTTCAGAGGGACTTCTTTGGTTACTGTTTAAAAAAGCATTCTTATCCCCCTACGCAGCTTCTTCTGCACAGCATTCATCACACCTGACGTACATCAGTGTATTGTTTTCCAGTCCTCCACACCCTCTGGAGCATGAGCACCGAGAAAGCGGGATGTTATCTGTTTTATGCCTAGAACAATATCTGACAGGTATAAAGTGCTTGTAAATATCTATTAAATGAAAAGCAAAATATTGAAAGACAGAAGACTTTTGTCTTTCTTAAAATACAGAAAACATTATACTTTTCATTATAAAGTTATAGCATTTAGTTGCCCTTAGAGAGCTGTAGTTTTCACTAATGTTCAGTAAGATTCCCTCTTGCTAGAGGCAGCGTGGTACAGGAACAAGCACAGTCCTGGGTAGGGGTGGGGTGGCAGTAGGCGTGAATGGGAGAACATTTGGCTTTTACTCTTAGCTCTGCCACTAATTACTGATGTCATTTAGGGTGAGTCATTTAACCGCTTCAGTTCCATCAGGGAATGTGAGAGAGCACATTTATTTTCTTCCAAAGAAAAGAGAGCCACTAAGCACAAAACCTCCCAAAATCACTCACCTCACACGTCAACAGCATTTTTCCTCCAAAGTTCATCGATGGGACTTTCATAGTGTATAAAGTAAAATTCCATCCCACAATCTAATGGATCATTAACTCTTTTTATAGTAAGTAAGCTATTAATAAATGATTTTTTTTCACCAGAATAAAATCTCAAAATACAAGATGGTAATCATAAAGTCAATTAAATAGGATAGTCGCATACGTAATAAAATTTTTTTTGATATGAATTTGCGGAAAAAAATGCCTAATTGAGAAAGACAAATTAGGATTATACTTAGTCAATAATCATATGCATTTTGAGAATAACATTCCTTTTCAGAATATAAACAAAGTACTTGGTAATGCCCACAAAGGAATGAAAACTTACTGATTCATTATCACTGCAATTCCCCCCAAGTAGTGAATTCAGTGTTCAATATGTAAAAACAAAACACCTAGAAACCCACTAACTTTCCTCCCTCTCACAAAAATACACCAAACCATACTGTCAAGCAAAATATTTTTAATTAGTAGGCTGATCATAAATAAATCCACATAAAAGATTTAACAGAATTACAAAGGGTTTTGTGTTTCTTCTGTGGACTCAATTCATAATACGCATTAGTTAACCTCATTCTCTAACTGCGACAAAAAAGAGTTGTCATCCAACAATGCAGCACAGTTTAAGCAATTCATATTCTGTAGTTACATTTTTACATCTTTACAAATGTAACATTTATGTACATTATGTATATATTTTTTCTATAGTTCATATACTGAAACTCTATTGTTTTTACAGGGAAAATATTGAATTCATTTAATGAATACGAATCATTCCTTGTTAAAAATTCATATAAATAACATGGTACCCACTGCCTTTTGGCATCTCGTCAGAGTTCCAGTCCAGAAATGTCATATTAACTATAAGAAAAAAGCAGTTATCTACTTTTACATTATGACCTATCATTCCACATTAGCTACATGAATGTGCTGGCTTGTAATGAACAGAGCACTGTACTGCTGCACTACTGGAAATGTGTAGAAACCAACTCAGAATATACCTGGTGAAACTGCATCATCGCCGCTAATTCAGGCTGAAGAGTATCTGCCAAGTTCTTTCTTCCTCTTCACCTGCTGACTCAGACAGGGTGCTATGCTATGTGCTGTGTCTTGTAACAATAAATGCCTTCATTTCAAATGTCCAGTGGGCTTCTCCGGCAGATCAGGCTGGACCTAGGCCTTTTTCTTCTGACTCAGTTTTATTCCCCTTCACTTACAAATCTGCTGCTGAATGTGAAGCAAGAATTCATAGTAAGAGAACGCGGCTTCTGTACGGTCTTCAATCAAATGTTGAAAAAATTCTGTTTTGGCAGGACTCTCATCTCTGAAAGAAGAAAAGGGTATTGACTTTAGGAAACTGGAACACAGGGGATATTATTCAAATGACAACATTCTACCATTGGAATATATTTTGATAACATTGAAGACAAGCAATATTATATAGACTGCACAAGACAAGACAATTTTATAGTTAAGTTATAGAAGTACTTACTTTACCACGTGAAGAACAGGGCTTAATGGTCTGCTGTCTCTAAGCCAAGTTATAAAGGATCTGGCTCTTTCTGATGAAAGCGTATCTAACTCTGGAAGATGTGTCTGGTAAGAGGAATATAATTAGGAAATTACTTCCTTTCTCATAGACTTTAGTACCATTAGAACTAAACCATGACTCCCACTACCTCCAACCAAATGCCAGCACTCCATTCCCAGCCACAACAGCAGTAACTAAACAAATGAAACTCAAACTGCTGGCAAGTCTGTTTATATTTTTCTAGATAAGTCAACAAAACATGTTTAATGGTAAGTATGATACTGACATTTTATGTGTCTGTTAAGACCCCAAAAGTCTCTTCTTTTATATGTATGATGAGTTTTTCTTCCCAAAGCCAAATTAATAGTACACTAAATAATTCAAAGTATATAGTATATAAAAAATTTAAATAGAAAAGTTTGGGTTAGTTATAGTTGTAATTTATGTCTACATTTAAAAAGTGAAAGAACAGAAAACATTTTTATTTTAATATAAATTTTTCCAGGTATTTTTGAAATATATATATATATATATATATACTATTATTATCTATACAAACACATTTAAAAAATACAAGTAGATCATATTATGCTTCCTTTTCTCTCTTCAGACTGTATTTTTAATAAATGCATAGATAGTACATATTTAATGCCACAAGCATGTGTGTGCAAAGCCATGCTTTTATGAATAAATCTATGGGAAATTTATTCCTTGGAGTAGGAAAATGTACTGTGTCATAAATTATGTGATTTTAATTTTAACAAATATTGTCAAATACCCCTCCAAAAGGTTGTATAAATGCACATTCCAATCTATAGTATTTGACAGGTCTGTGGACCTATGCCTTTTGCATTATTGCTGATTAAATTTAAAAAACTTTTGACAATCTGGTATGTAAAAGAAATGCTATGCTGTTATTTTATCTTCTTATGAGCAAGGCTAACATAGCTTCATATGGCTACTACCATATTCCCCCCACAAACTGGCTGTTCAAATCCTTTACCCATTTTTTATTTTCCTTCTGTTTTGAGAAGACGGGTTTCTTCTGAAAGGTTTGTGAGATAACTTTATATACTAGAGAAATTCGCCCTTTTATAGTTATAGGAGTTATAGATAACTTCCCAACTTTGTCTTTTTGCTTTATTTGTTTATTTTACCAGATAGAAATGTTTTCTTTTTATGCTCTCGGGTTTATTAATCTTTTTCATCACTGGCTTACAAAGAAAGGCCTTGCCTGTTATAATAAAATAAAGATTCATTTTCTAATATTCCATTTTTTTCACAGTGATTTGAAATGTAACCTTTACCAAATTCTATTTTTCAGGAATTAGATCCATTTCTGAATTCTGTTCTGTTACAATGATATGTTTATTGTGCTATTATCTTAGTGCTTAAATATCTACGGCTTCAAAATAAAGTTTATTATTCTGTTTAGGATTTATTTTTCATATGCTTTCCCTCTTCACTATATTTCTTTTTAAAAACTTTTCCTTACTATCCTCATTTGTTGAGTCAATCAACCAACAATAGCAGAATGTGATAAATTACACTGACATTATATTATTTTCAGGAGAAATAACTTATTTACAGTATCCAAGAAAAAAGCAGACCTTTCTTTTTTAAAAATCCTCACCCAGGGATATGTTTAGAGAGAGGAAGTGGGGGAGAAAGGAGAAGAGGAAGACAGAGAGAGAGGGGGATAGAGAGGGGGAGAGAGAGAGAGAGAGAGAGGGAGGGAAAGAGGGAGAGAGAGAGGGAGAGAGAGACAGAAAGAGAAACACTGATCCAAGGAACATTGATTGGCTGTCTCCGGTACGCACCCTGACCAGGGATTGAACCTGAAACCAAGGTATGTGCCCCGACTAGAAAGCAAACCCACTAACTTTTGGTGTATGCGATGATACTCCAACCGACTGAGCCACCCAGCTGGGGAGCAAGGTAGACCTTTTCCATTAATTAAATATAAAGAACTGATTTCAGAATCATATCTCTTTGGTACTGGTTAACACACATACAGTAATGGCCAACTGAAAAATTTATGTTTATTATCAGCAAAATAATTAAAATCAGAAGGTAAAGTTGTTGGAAAACAGTGTGTTAGTTCCTTAAGAAATTAAACATAGAGTTTACGTATGGCCCAACAATTCCAAACCAGGGGAACTGAAAACATGCTCACAGAAACACTTGTACACAAAATGTTCATGGTAGTGCTATTCACAATAGCCCCAAAGTGGAAACAACCCAGATGTCCATAAATGGATGACTGGATATACAAAATGTGGTATATCCAAACAATGGACTATTATTTAGTCATGAAAAAGAATGAAAAACTGATACATGCTACAACATGGGTGAACCTTGAAAACATTGTGAGAAGTGAAAGAAGCCAAACAGAAAAGGCCACATATTGTATGATTCCATTAATATGAAATGTCTAGAAAAGGCAATTGCATAGATACAGAAAAGAGATCTTTAGTTGCCAGGGAAAGGAAAAGGGGAGGATTGGGATATATGAGTTTCTTTCTAGGACTCTGAAATTAGATACTGGAGATGGTTGTACAACATTATGAATATACTAAAAACTAATGAATTGTATACTTTAAACTGGTTAAAACTGTGACTCTTATTTGAATTTTACCTCAATAAAAAAATCTGAAACAAGCACACAAAAAGTTAAAACTGAATAAAAATCCACTGACCATTTTCTGTGGTATTGACGCAAAATCAGGATACCCAAGCACATCCTCTATGAAGTGGTTGTCACAGCTTTTTCCAACCCAAATGTAAAAAACCTAAAAACAAAAAACAAGATTATTAAAACTCCTTAATCAGAAACAATACAGATTATTTCCTTAAATTTATCAAGCATAAAAAGAGGTAAAATATACTATTTCAAATAAAGTAGGAACATAAAAAAGGAAATGTAATTGGTACATTTAGAATCTATATCCAGGAATCTAGAGTGCTTCATATCTTTGTTCAAATTTCAAGAATTCCCATAAAATATATTTTACCTTCTCCCTTTTCCCCCAATAGGAATACAATGTTTTAACCAGGATAACTGACTCACAATATTTCCTTTCCATTATTTCAATGACTGTCTCTATTATTTTCACTAATGTGCTTTCTCACCTACCTCCTGTGGCTATTGGAATCCTTTTCCTGCCCATAAGGTATCATATATGAAGCCATCCTGACCATTCTACCACCCTTCACTCAACACTGCCCAGTGACTCCTCCTGAACTCCTAATCATTAATGGCATTTCTGACAACGAATATAAGCTAAACTAGATAAACTCGAGGACCCTTTGAATTTTAGGATTCTAGGTGATGAAATCCTTGAAAACAGGAACTTTCCTGTTTATCAAGTATACATAATTTAGGACAGTAAATAATCCATGATAAAATTTATTAATCTATGAAAATAAAATAACATTCAACTAGAAAAGTCTAAAATAAATTGACCTCTTGTGCCAGTTACCAATGTATTGCCTCTCAGCTCCCAATCCACCTTTCACTAACTGATCTGTGTAACAGAGCTAGACCCTGTGTTTCTCCTTTTGATGGAACAGTGTTAGGCTTTGTCAGTAAAGGATGCTTACAGAGCCACAGTCCATAAGGAAAGCACCTTCTCTTGTCAGCTTCTCTGCAGACAATTTCTGAAGAGGTGGCTGGGGTACGACCCTGTCATTAACATGTATTGCACCCTGAAACAAAAACAGATGGAATGTGAACGAGCTTATACTGCTATCATCACAGTTTGGAAGTTAATGGCCACTAGCTCTTTATGAAACACTGAAAAAGGACACCTGAGGATTTTGTAGGATGCAAAAACTTATTGATAATACATTACTACCTTGGCTATAGAATCAAGACACTCAGATATATTCAAATTAAAAAGACAGAAACACGAATATGTAAAACAATCTGTCAATTTCCGTCCCTTTGGGGAGCAGGACATATTAAAAGTATAACTATTGCCCAACTGGTGTGGCTCAGTGACTAGGAACCAATAAGTCACAGGTCAATTCCCTGTCAGTGCACATGCCCGGTTGTGGGTTCGATCCCTGGTGGGAAGCATGCAGGAGGCAGCCGATTGATGATGTTTCTCTCTCATCAATGTTTCTATCTCTCTATCCCTCCTCCTTCCTCTCTGTCTAAAAATCAATAAAAACACATTTAAAAAAATATATAACTATTAAATCTGTTGTGAAGCAAGTTACTTTTTTACATTTCTCCATGAACATAATACAGGGAAGATTCCAAAAAGTAGAGTTTTAATACAAGGAAGAAAACACACACTACATATATGAATATTAAAAACACTGATGGATACCAGATCCAGTTTACAATATAATAAAATTGTACTCTGATCATATCACAAACCGTTAATGTCTATAAAATATAGACAGAAATGTCCACTCTACAACTTGGCTTTGTAATAAATATTATAAGCTATCCCACAAAGCAAATTACTTCCCATATGAAACTATTTTTGAAAACTCCATAACAACAGACAGTATCTGATAGTCCTATTGTCTAATCAAACCCATAGTGTCCTTATTTAATGCATTAATACCCCAAGGGAAAAATGGATTTAAAAATTGTCAATAAATACATTGCTATCTTAACTATAGTCAAGACATTCAAATATATTTAAATTTTAAAACTTCAAATGCACTAAAAGAAATCATACCTCATCTATCAATCTGTCTATCCTGTATAAGTTGGGATGAATCATTCTCATTAGATGAGCAAGTGGCTGACACTTTATCTGACACATGGCATACACACGATCATCCAGGCGTGTGCTTGTACCGGTTCTAAAGGCTTTCTAAATTTAAACAAAAAAAAGAAAAAGAAAATTTTCAAGTAAAACATAAATATAGTATGGACAAATATTAAAATGAATATATACCATCGTCATGGAAAAAGCATGGCCTTTATATCAGACAGACCTGGATTCAATTCTCAGCTCTAACACTTAATGGATAGGTATGTGAGCAAGTTACTTAGCATCTCAAAGCTCTATTGTCATCATAAGAAAAACAAAGAAAATAATACTCACCTCTCTAGGTTGTTGTAAGTTAAGATGATGTTTATGTAACACCTACTATGAAGCCCGAGGCATGGAAAGATGTTTAATGAATATTAACCCTCTCCTTAGTCTCTGTCCAGAAGCACACATTATGAGTATGCTATAAGCACCCCATTATGCAAGCTGCTCCCACATGTTAAAGAGTAAGTGCATAGGGATTCATCATGTATTTGTATACCTTCATTTTCCAGTGATCTTTTCCTGTTCTTCAAAACTTTTCCAATGCTAAATTGCAAATCCCCTAATTAAATATTTCTTAAAAACCCAGAAAACCTAGATTTCATTTCTTCACTTATGTATCGAGAATTTTATTTTTATTTTATATATTTTTTAGATGTTTCCTGCATGGTTTGTCTCCTCAGTCATTGTCCACAGGACTCTGAGAAGCTGTAGGAATATGCAGGCGCGGACTCAAGGCCCGGCTTTCTCTCCAACGCTGTGGGAAGGGACAGTACATCATGGGGCAGAGCCCTATGCTCCCTTGCGCCACCTGGACAGAGTCCGGGGAGAGTGACCTCCCGGGGTATCCATGTTGGACATATACAGAGAACTTTAAAAGGCTTTATTAAATGTAGCAGTTATAGAGAACTACCTGTTTGAGAAGGGCCAAAACATAGAGAGGAAACAACTTGAGAGAGCTGGGTGCAATCAGCACCGAGTGCTGTAAATTTGAGACAGTTGAGCCATATGCGGACAATGAATCCACCACAGCATTCACTAAGGCATCTCTTGCATCTGAGAGACTTGTTGAAATGGATCGATCCACAGCTAGAAAGCAACCAAAAGGGAAAGGTATTTAACCATTATATTCCATTGAATGCTGTAAGAGATAAGATTTCCATGCATTACTTAAGAAACCAATAAAAATTCCGTTTCTAGGACAAAAAAGTACATCTCACCTGTTCCCTCATTTAAAAAAAATTTTTTTAATTAAATTGATTGGGGCTATTTCCTCATTACACAATTTTCCTGAACGAAATCGGACATATAGAACAAATCCAGATTGTTTTGGACCTTTTGTTTTAATCTCTTTACGTTTAAAAATACTTAAACACTACTGGTATTAGAAAACGTATATCATCCACCTACTTTTAAGAAAAAGCTCTGGGGATATTTCCATTACTCAAATAGAAGTCATACATATAAAATATATATTTTTTTCTGGCCAAACAATGTAAATTCCAATGAAAAAGAAAGAACTGAAACAATGTAAATTCTGCAATCTGAGTTATCCCTTGTAATCCTCTAAATCTCTGCCAAAGCATTCCCAGGTCAACAAAAAAGAGAACAAACTGACACAGGTCCTCATGCAGACATTGAAAAGCCAGATGTTAGCATGAAACGCCAAGTACATATTTTATTAAAACAGAGATAACCTACACATATGCCCCAGTATTATAAATAAAATTATATTCATGGGCAATAATCAGATTCATTTTATATCTAAATTCATCTAAAAGATAAATTCATTAAAAACAAAACAGTTATATTAATTCCCTAAAGAAATTTTTAAAACTTACATACAGTAAAATTTACCTTTTTAAGTATAGTTCTATGTGGTTATATGTCAAATCCATAACCATGCAATCACTACCACAATCAAGATACACAACAGTGCCATCACGCCCAGAATATCTCCTCATGCTGCCCCTTTGTAGTAAAATGCTCCCCTTTCCCCAACCCTGATAATCACTGATCCGTTCTTCATCCCTGTGATTTTCCCTCTGCTAGACAGTCATATAAATAGAATCACATGTAGGTGGCATTTTGAGACTAGCTTCTTTCACTTAGCACAATGCGTTTGAGAGTCATCCATTCTGTTCATGCATCAACAGTTCTTTCCTTTTTATTGCTTAGTTGAATTCCATTGTATGAATGTATCACAATTCGTTCATATATTTACCAGCTGAAGGAAATTTGGGTTGTTACCAACTTTTAGTGATTATGAATGCCCCAAAAGATTTTAAATCAAAGAATAAGAAATATAAAAACTGTCCAATTCACACTGCTGTACATGAAAATGTAAAACATACACTTTTTAATTAAGGGACTCCTAGGGTAAAAAAATGCCCAAACTTCAGTTTTTAGGATAGAAAAATACATTTTACCCATTCCCTCACTTTTTTACTCACCCATGTTTGCCAGAAGGCAGATGGCAGCTTGTACATCTACTCCTGCATATACATCTGCTAGTGAACTCACCACTGGCAAACAAAGTGTATGCACTCTAATTCTTCGCTCACCTAAATGAAGTGATGAACAAATGTCATTGCAAAATACATTAGACCAAGAAAGAAACAAAGAAAACAGGTCAAAAAAATTATTCAACATATTGTTTTGATTGGATTATATCGCCAACAGGACATTGAAATGTAAACACTAAGTTTTATAGTGAACATGTTTTAAAGAAAATTAAACACGCTCTAAATCTGAAGATATACTATGAACACATACTATACTATGAATAGAGTTGAATATTAGGTTTTGGTTTTTATTTTAATATCATTAATTCTAAATTATATCCAACAAAGTAAAATGTTATTAAACTTATTAGATTGTCAATTAACAAATGTAGGCCTTAAGTGCTAGGCAGAATTTTATTTTACGGGCCAAGAAATAATACTAAAAATGGCATGGGTTGTTTACCAGATACATATGATCCTAAGAATGCAAGTCTTCCACAAGTTAAAAAAGTTATCATTTAAAGATTCAAAGAAGAAGAGAACATATATTTGATTAGCTGATGCAAGTCCCATTACTTTCCACTGTATGTTCACTCTTTCTCCCCATTCTCCCCAGCATGAGAGAGGAGGGGGAATTACTGCTGCAGGTTATATTTCATTCCTCTTAATGTTACCTTTGCTTGATGTATATAACAGGGCTGTTTGAAAGCACACCAAGGAAGTGTCTGTCAAACTTTCTTCAATGGACAGCTGTACTGCAAATCCAGCATCGGGATTGATGTTGGCGAGGGATAACAAATCAGTGGAACGAACAAAGAAGTTTCCATGAAAAGTATGCATTGAAAGACCTAGAGAAGAGAAAACTTGTTATAAAAGATGAAGTAACAGTGGTATCTTTATCTCAGGCTAAAGCTACTTTACAAAGTAAAAAATGTCTCTGATTTTTAATCAAAAGGATAATTGGGGGACAGGATTGGAGTGTTGGTTGAGGTTCTAAAATACCAATTCAAAAGAATCAATGTAGGTTCTACAAAAGGTTTAATGGAGAAAATCTTAAAAATGAGGGTTATCATAAAACTTGTTTAAGAATTAAAATAAGTGATCAGAATCCATCCTGCAAACATTCACATAAAAGGAAGGTGAAGACTATTTGAATAATGATGAAGGCAAAGATCATTACGTTGACCATTTTCACTTAAGATCTTCCCCATTCCTCTAATTCTCTTTAATTAAGGGCTTTCTCTTAGGTTCTTTTTAATAAAGCAAAACATTATTTTTGCCCACTTATTCCAATTACTATAAAAATTGGGCAATGGTTATTCAACAACTATAGATATAAAACAGGGTACAACTGGATCAAGCATAAAGTCCTTTATGATGAACAACCATTATAGATAGTCACAGTCAATATATGAATGCTTATTAATTTAATTATAAAGCATAGTTTTTTAACTTCATACCTTTAGTACACCTTATTCTCATAACAGCTTCAAATCCAATTTTCCTTGTGAGATAACGTTTTAGTTCTTTTTGTAACTTTTCTGCTTGTGAAGGATTGTGAGTATAATGGAAAGATGGATAATAATAGATGCACCCCGCTGAATACTTGGACATGCAAGCTTTAAAGAGAAATACAGAAAGTATTAACTATAGAAACAGTAACATCCTACTTGTCCAACAGTAGTATAAGTTTTATATCATGAAGAAATCTAAGTCATAATGAGAAAATCAAAGCTGTCAAAATAAGGATAATATATAAATCTGAGAAAACACAAACGTTTGTAAAATGTAACATATAAGGTTTATTGTTGAGCAGAATGGCAAAGAAATTGTATTTTAAAAACAAAATAGTAATAGCGTTTTATACTGGTATAGTGTTTTAAAATTTACCAGTAATTTTCAGAGATATCATCTATCTAATTCACGTCTTTCTCTCCAAAATCCTGAGAACTCTTACTGAAGAGTTCAGATTTAACTTATATGCTAAAACTGTTTATGTAAACAGGTAAACACAATGATATCTCCTTACCTAGAGAAGAAAGATCAGAATACTGTGAACTTAAAAGGAACAGATCCACTGCAGTCTGCTGCCCTGAGCAATCTAAAGCGAGTTTCTTATAAAAATCAGTTGCGGGGCCAAGATGTTGTACAACCTAAGTCAAGAGATCATAAAGTAAGTGAGAAATCTTGAATGATGCACATATTTCATCATTCTCTTATAATAAGGAAGAGAATATCCTCCCCTACCCCCCACAAACTAATATTTATAATACACTTGTGTGCCGGCACTGCTCGAGATGGTTTATATAAATCATTTAACCCTCATAATAACATAGATATCTCACAGGATTATCTACATTTTACAGATGAGGAAACCGAGGCAAAAAAAATAATTAAGTAACTTGACCAATTACATAGCTACTGAATGATAGATGCTGGAATATAAACCCAAGAAGTGTGGGCTTCGGACTGAGTGCCTTCAACCATTACTGTACAGTGGTACAGAGCAACAGGAGAGCATACTAGATTAAGGAAGGCTTTTCCTACTGTTAGGACGACTCTGGAGCTGAGAAAGTGGCACTGGAGAAAGAGTTAAAAGTGCAAGAGCGACGCTCCAAGTTCTTAGTTACTACACTACACTGCCCAACCAAATGTTTCAATCCTCTCAATTATACAGGGTATGGCAAAAGGAGGTGTACAGTTGTGAGTACATGAAACAGTTTATTCTTGTATTATTATTTATTAATTATTGTATTATTTTCTATACAAACTGTAAACCTACTTTTGCCCCATCCTGTAGTGCATGGTTATTACATTGGAATTTACTCAGATGTAAAGGAATATGTAAACCAGAACAGATATTTAAGGTTTTGAATCCCAGGCAGATAGAGAATGTTTCTGAAAGTTAAATGAGAAAAACAAAACAGAACTGTATCAAATAATTCAGTAAATATAGAACACCTTCCTATGTTCAAAACACCTCAATGTTCTACAGTAGTCTGCAATGGATCAATGAACTCAGTGCTAGCTGTACTCATGGATGGGCCTAAAACATATCCTTGTCTCAATTTATTTTAAAGTTAGCTTCTTTCTCAAAAGCAATTAAAAATACAATTTTTGTAAAAAGTAAAATATGGTGCTATTTTCTCTAGCAAATTGGTGAAGAATAAAGAAGCAACAATACTTAATAGTGGCTAGAAGATGAGTCATTAAGAGTACAGGTCAATAAAAGCCCAAAAAGTAAAATACATTAGTAACTTCTGTTTCATCCAATAATTTTACTTCTAGAAATTTATCCTAAGGAAAAACTGAATATATCACTAAATAGTTCATGCTCATAATTAGTTGGTAATGGCATTTTCTCATACATAAGTTGAAGCCAGGCAAAACTTATGTACAGAACAAAAATGACTGTTCCAGTTAACTTATTGTTTAAAATAAGGGATTAAAATACCCTGATGAAATCTTCATGTAATGTTTAGCCTGATATTGTTTTTATTTTTTTAACAGTTAAAATACAGGAGACAACTTTTCAATAGCTAGGAGGAAATTAATTAAATCAACTACTTTCACATTTACTAAAAAATATTTCTTAAATTAAGAGAATTTTTAGGGGCCTCAGAAAATGCTTCCATTATACTCTAATGAAAAGGTCAGTTAAAAAATACAGTATATATATGTATAATGCTCAACTATGCTTATTTGTATGTGCCTGTATATCTTGATAGTGAGATTATTGATTTATTTTTGTTTCCACTTTTCAAATTTTATACAATGATTTCTATTACCTTCAATAATTAAAAAGTTTATTAGTATGAGCATGTTAAATGATATCTCAGATTTAGTAAGTAAATTTTACTGGTGTAACTGAAAACAGCACTGGAGACAGAATATCAAGTCACATTTTACCATTAAATAGTTATTTAACCTTTGGCAAAATAGTTTAATCTGTTTCCTCCTCTGTAAAATGAAAGGGTTAGAGTTAATTATTCCTAAATTTCAATGACCTGCAAACAAAGTAATAAAAAGAATAGACTCCAACACAAAAACAAAATTATTCAAGTTAATCTCTCTTACCAGTTTTTGTGTTGTTGTTTTTTTACTATTAATGAAGTGGAAAAGTAGAATGAACAATTACAGTATAGAGGCAGAAAACATCTTCCTGAATATGACAGAAAAGCAAAGTGTAAAATACCTTTGTGCTCGATCTCTGATTAGGATCCTCTCTGGACTGCAGAAGTCCTGCACCCAAGGAAGGTAACTGTGTCTGAAATACAGACACACGGCCACCTGTTGGAGACATTAATTTAAAGGCAGCCTGAAGCGCAGGACCAAGGGCACTGTGTGTTTCTCTTGTATTGGTGAACATATTTGGTAATGCATTCAATAAGTCTTTTATAAGCTGGGAAAACAAAGATTAAAAGTTGAATTACTGAGAAGGCAAGGCAATATTCTTCTTTAAAACATCCCAGAGTGCAGTGCCATTACATTTTGGGGGACTGTAAACTGAAGTCAATGGACAGGCTACCACATTGTCTATTGAAATGTTAATACACCAAGTAAACATTAAACATTTCAGTGAACATTTGAAATAACAGAAATATTTTAACATTTTAAGTAAAAAAATCAATCTCACCTCTTTACTTTCGTGTAGGTTCACAAGTAAGCTATCCGGAGTAGGTAGAAAAACATCTACAGGGAAAACATTTTAATCAACAGATACATCAAGTCAAAAAAATATAATAATATAAAAAAATCTGTTTTCATCAGGCCATCCATGTAATAATGGTGCTAAAATACTGCTTTATTAAATATATATTCCCTGTATGTATGATACACATGCAAAAGTACACATACATAGGTGTAAAAAACTTAGAATCAAGAGTTTTCCAGGAAACAATTATTTTTAAACAAATATCTAAGTGCCCCAAATTATCCTTATAGTATTATGATGTATTGTCAAATGAAGTAGCATGAACTCCAAACTCAGTAGTTAAAAAAGATTTTTATTTTATTCAGTGCTTACCATCTATATCAGATACAATCAACATCTGAGGCTGCGATAATCCTTCTTGTAAATTGTAGAAATGAATAGTGCTATCAAAGGTGACAAATCCTATTCTTGTTCGTGAATCTCCAGGAAGCCTAAAGATAAAAGTGACAATTTTAAATTTAAAGTGCTCAGTAACATATTTTATTTAAGTAAATAATGAAATAGTAAACTAAGTCTAAGAATAATTACATATGCTTTTTCATAGAGGACAGAAAAGTTATCCCTACCTAAACCAACAGACATCAGAGAAGATCAAGAATGAAACATTCCATCTTTAGGTAAAACCACTGACATGTTTATAGATTTTGTAAGTCAGAAAACTGAACTATATTCAAATAATAAACCAAAACTAAAAATGACATTTAAAAAACCAGACTTGAACAGAATGACAAATAAGTACTTTCCTAAAAAAGACTGAATGTAATGCAGATAAGATTTTAATATATAAAATTTTAAACGAGAACCACATTTAAGACAAAGACACTTTATTATGTGTCTTTTAAACAATTCTGCCAGAACTCAGTATATTCAAAAGTCCATGCCACAGCATAAAATAAATTAACATTTTATTGCCCATAAAGCTTTTCTCATGAATAAGATAAATGCTGCATCTTAAAGAAGTGTATTTCTAAGAACCACCATGTTAACTGCTGTTACATAATTTACTGTTTCGATAAAGCTTTTAAAATATTTTTGAAATTTATATAATGTCAGAATAGTGCACATCAAAGCAAGAAAAATTATTACCACTATGCATATCAATCAGGCCACTCAGATATAGTCTACAAGGTAGGTCTAAAAGCACTTCACAGTTCAGAATGCAAGAAGTTATGTGGGTGTTTAGAATACCTATATGGTCAAGATTTATGATGCTTCTACACACTAATGTTCACCTCTTTGAGATTTGTAAGGTCACTCAATGAGAATGGAGACTACTTACCTGCTCTACCCCAAACTAAAAACACACAGAGTTTAACTGGAATTGCTCTAGCATCAAACTCCTCTTCTTCAAAGTTATTTTCATAGCCCTTTCCAAAAACATGTAACTATATTGTTGCTATCCTATTACTTTTACTTTTAAACTTTCTTAATGCTTCTATTTTTCGCTGCAAATTATATATGTACACAAAACTATTTTCCATTCCCAATTTTATCCTTCTGGTTTTGCATAGTCTATTTAACTTGCAAATAGTCACTCATCTTTGTTGGACTTGTTCCTATTTCTAGGGCTATATCCTCATACTTTTCCAGTAAGCTAACTCCTCAGTCTTAAAACAATTTCTCTGCAGAGGGTCTTCCACTGCCACCCACAGCTAAAGCTGCATCTGAAGTAAGCACTTGTGACCAAAAATAGGGCAAATGTTTCAATCAAGGAGAAAAATATGAAAACTCTAAGTTACTAACACAAACTAAAAGCAAATCATTTAGTATCTCTGGATTTTTTTAATCTCTGGATTTTTTTTTTAAATCTTGAAGGTCTCAGTGTTATCAGTATTATTCACAGGCCAAGATCAGTGATATGCAGACTCTGATGACTAAAGCTATTACTGAACAGAGCAAGGACTCAATGGAAGATGGGGGAGAACCCTCTGGAATCACCAAGAATACTTCTGACAAAGTATTCACACAAACCACCCTACATCTTTGCATATGTGAAAAACCACTGCAGTCATGGAGCATTCTTACTAACAATCTTAAGTCTTATCTCTTGTGGGTGTTGTAGTAAAAAAAGAAACGTACAAACAACTTTGTTTTCCTGAGATTTGGAAGGTCATTATTAAAGCTAGTTGAGGGTCTCCTTCATGACTAATCTAGGTAGATACATAGAAAGGAATCAGAGCCAGGTATAAGTGACTCATCCAATACTGTTTCCACTTTCACAATACAGCTCATTACTAATGTGCCAAAATGAAGAGCTCAATTTCAGGCTTCCTGGAAATACTCAGCAGAAAATAAATTCCTTCTTTCCCTTTATCTGGCTCATTCTCTTATCAGCACATTTAAAACTACCTTATGGAAAACCCCTTGCTCAGGCATATAAATTACAGCTAGACTTCTCTCATCCAAATTCTTGATACCCTGGCCACATTAAGTTCTCTGGGCCCCAGTATTGAGACCTGCTAAGTCAGAGGGATAGTTAGAGGAGATCTAAATTTCTTACTAAATATTAAAACTTTTATGATTTTGGATTCCAACACCAAGTCATAAATCATGATAATCTAAGTAGCAGGGTCCATATTCTATGGTGGACAGGAAGTATTCTTAGTAATCGATAAATGAAATCAAACTTAATAGAAATCAATACTGTGAACTGCTAATAAACACTTCGCATTTATGTATATATACACACACACATTATGAGTGAAAACAGTTCTTACTTGTCTAGATTTTCTAACAGTGACTGGCACAAAACTGTCAAATACCCAGCTTCCACTGCGTTATGAGACACATCTAAAACAAACAAGTAAACTGCAGGCTGAGGAGGACGAAGCTGAAAGAAATAAAAATAATGTATGTAGTAGGTACAATTAATTCTCTTGTTTCTTAAATAAGTTTTTATTGATTTTTAGAGAGAAAGAGAAGGGACAAGGATAGAGAGAAACATCAATGAGAGAGAAACATCATCAATCTGCTGCCTCCTGCATGTCCCCTACTGGGAATCAAGCCTGCAACCCGGGAATGTGTCCTGACTGGGAATTGAACACCAGACCTCTTGGTTCATGTGTCAATGCTCAACCACTGGGCCACACTGGCCAGGTCAATTTATTCTTTTTATATCATATAGTACTGGATATGTACTGAGTAAATTATACCAAAAAAATCCCCCAAAAACCCACAAATAAGATGTTTTGTAAGATCTTACGTGCTAATGAAAATGACATTCCTTTAACTATTTTTTCTTATAAAGTTGGTTGTGGATTAAGCATGATAAGGCAGCCATTGGTAATGGTTAAATAGTTAACATATTTAACAGTAATGGTTAAATAGATGGGCTAAACATTTTCCTGCTAGTGTCTTGGCTGAGACATCTTTCAAAGAAAAGTTAAACTTATTATTTAATATCAACCTCTATATCTCTTCCCTGCCCCTAAAAACATTTTTAAAATTTATTTTCTTTAACTGGATAACCATTAGTACTAGCTACTGGGTCACCTGGTGGTGGCTGAATCCCAGAAGTTAAATGCTAAGTGTCGAGTCCTTGTGATGGTATTCCAGCAGGATTAGTCCCTGTCTGCTGGAGACATACACTGAAGTATTAATGGGTAAATGTATGATGCTGGGATTAGCATTTAATAAACTCCAGGGTGGGTGAGGGGAGAAGGGACTGGAATAGACTGGGGATAGATGAAGTATGAAATATATATAGCACAAGTTTGATAATTATTGTAGCTCACTGATAGTTAAATGTTGGCTCATTATACTATTTTCTCTTCTTTGAAGTATGCTTGAAAACCACTGCTACAGAAAGTTAAAATAAAAGGATATATAAAGTCTTTTTTCAATTAAATGTCAACCAGGGATCATATGGGTCATATGGCAAAAACTAAAGACCACTTTTTGCTGCACCACTTCAATTAGATTAAGATTCCAAAAGAGCCAGAACAGAGTAAATTGAGAAGACAGTAAGAAGTTGAGAGTAATGGTGACTGACAGAAAGTTTACTGTAATTAATATGAAAACAGACAAGAAAATAGTAGTTCAGTGGGCAGATGCTATACTGGAAACAAAGAACCACAAAAATCAGAAAATAAAGAAATGGGTTAAGCATTAGGAATTTAACACACCACTTTAAATTTTTGCAGACAACAAAGACTAGAAATAAGGATACAGAGGAAACGTAAGTTATTATAAATATATTTAAAATGAGTCAATATGATAAAGAAGAACAGAACTTAGGCCAAGAATTTGTTTTTGTAAGTGGAAATTTAGAATGAGAGCTCAGTCAGTATAATTAAAGAACAGAACAGATAGAATTTTATGATAAACTGCAAAGAGAAAAATTAGACTGATGTCAATATCCATTTATCTTCATATCTGTACTGGGTGAACCAGTAAGATTATATCTTTAAGAGCTTGGAATCTGTGGTTTCTGTCAAAAACATGAGTTTTTCTGTTGGAGGGTCTTAAGTAGTAAATGATAAAAGAATATTTATATTCATTCCATGCAAATAATATAATCAGAATGGCAACAAACTGTAGATGCTAGTGCTCATTGTGAAACATTACTAACATTTCTTAGTGATATATTTGCATTCTTCTAGGAGATCAAGTAACCTTTACAAAGAGTTTTCTATTTTTTAAGTATAAACTTTCTGCATTATTTTTAAAAATTAATTTTAAAAATTTCAAAATTTGGACAAGAATTCACTTAACAGCAAATTACAAATGACCAATACAACTGTATCTCATGACTAACTTTAACACTGAATAGTTACCATGTAATCAGAAGAAGCAATGAACTCCACGGTTGAATTCTGAACTTCTGGCCGTTTATGAGGCTCTCCGTAAGATCGGGTAAGAGGGTTATACATAAATTCTTCAGGAACTAGGTAAGAATATGGAATCCAGTACAAATTAGTAACACAATTTGTAACTAAACACACCTATAACACTCCTAGAAATAAACACCTCTATCATCAATATTTATATAAGGTTTATAATAGTTCTGTGAACATCTAATGATAAAAACTAATTCCTTAAGCCCTCTAAAAAATGTATCAGAAGGATTAAAAAAATTTTTTTCCCCGAAATCAGGTTAGGAAACCAGAACACAAGTAACCTTGCTTTTTAGGTTTGTGTTCTATTTATTACATCTCATGACATGAAAAAAAAAAAAATCAGACAAACACAAATTTGAAAGCAATCACACTAAGATGTCTTAAAAAATGACTATAGGGGAAAACAGACACACTGCACGCATATGATCATATATACTGGCAAAGGTCTATACTGAGCTGAATGAACCAAATGTATCAACAGAAGACAATCTTAACTTGTCAGGGTCAAGCATAATTAGTCTGCATGACCTCACCTACGTGACTCACCTTCACTGCTTGTTTTATAATACTTTTTAGTTTGACCTCACTGTTACTTCTCATTATCAATTATCTCCTTAGCTAGCCAAAATGAAATGTCCCTAGCCTATAGTCTATCCATTAAAAGTGGTATGAAAGTTTTGAAAGCAGTGACGAAAGAGATCAGATGACAGAAATGTCAAAATGTTTAAAATATTAAACACACTTATTTTAAGAATCCGAAACTCACCATCATTGACTCTATAGCACAAATTGCATTTCCATCTACGCTGATCAATGAAGGACACAAAAGGGTTGATATATGTTCGACAAGATCGGCACCTCACAATGGTATTTGATGTTATCACGGGTAATTGCTAGGAAGTAAAATAACGATGTTGTAGCAGAAAAAGCACCCCAGGAAATACACATGCTGCTGCAGTGCTCACAGTCAAACAAAACCATAATTGTTTTTTGAAATTGAAGCATTTTAATAAAATCCAGTCATGTGCTGAGTAACACAACCAGCTATCAAGTTTTTCTCTCCCTGTCTTGTCATAAACTTTATATAAAATAATACCAAAATAAAGTCAAGCCAAATGCAGTAAGTTTTTGGCTGACAAGAAAAGCCTGGTTGACCAAGAAAGTAATATAAGTCAGAGATTATCAGGTAGACTAAAGAAATAACAGAGAAAGAAACACATTCCATACAAGAACGCCTTTGTCTCTGACCTGGTGCTATCAAGCACAGCTCATTAGATAGTCACAGCAATCCTGATGGCCACCAAGGCCACCAGAAAACACACACAATGTGCTTTTAAAACAATATGTCTCTTTATGCTTAGTTTGAGAAAAGAACTTTATATTCAATTTAAGAATTTAGAAAATTTGAAAAAAGATTTTAAAAAATTACATATTATTCTACCTCTGTCACCCTTTTAGTATATTCCTATGTTTTTATCATACATAAACATTTGTATCTTAGTATTTTTTCACACATACAATTTTTATTATATAAATACATATCATTGTGAAAAAATTAGGAAACAGTTAACTAAAATAAGAAAATTAAAAATTACTCATAATTCCATATCCCAGAGGAAGCCACTGTTGCCAATTTAGTGTATATACTTCCAGAAGGTATCACATAGAGAATCTGTACTTAGATAAAAATTCTTACCTGTGTTTATGGGAAATTAACTATATTGGTTCAGACATAAAGGTTGTAAGAGTATTAAAGGTTATCAAATAGTATTTACTGAATGAATTCAAGATCCTCATTACACATCCTAATTATTTTATTTGCTATGCACTCTGCTTCTTTCTGTTCACGTTAGTAGGAAAGTAAGATCCACGAGGAAGCTTACTGACCTTTGTATCCTCAGCACCTAACATGATAGGGAGGCAAATCGTTATTTTGTGGATGAATAAGAGCAAAAGAAACTCAGTAGCAATAAGAGGGGTAGAAAGGCACAGGAGTAAAAAAGTGTGAGGGAGAAATTCAACTTGTAAAGTATAAGTAAAATGTATCTGGATAAAGTTTATTTTTAAAGTTTAGAAATTTTAGTTTAAATACAACACATTTGCATGAAATACCACAAGTTTGCGGAAAAATCCAGCAAGCTACGTATTAAACCAAATAGACTGTGGAAACTTAAGCAATGTTTTAATTCAATAGACTTGAAGTGTCTGGACTTTATTATTATGAAGGTTATTTGTTTAATATGGTTAGGAACAATCATACAGTTTCCTCCCTAACTGCACATTGTCGGTGTTTCCTTTATGTTTAATAAGGGACTTATAAAGTTTAGGACTCATCAAGTTTATCTTCTATGGCCTCTCCAATTTCCAAAACTAATCTTTCAAAATCCAGTTCAGACCTCATCACTCATAGAAAACTTCTGCTACTGTACCCAGAGGAAATTACTTCCCATACTGTACTCACCACCTAAATACCTTACAGAATTTGATTAGTTACATGTATTAATTCTCCTGCATGTAATTATTTGTTCTTACATCTTTGTTCCCCATTAGAGAAGAATTTCTTAGGGGCAAGGCCAATGACTTAATCATCTCTATGCTTACCAGGGCTTAGTTTAGGGCCTGTCACAAAGCAGGTGCTTGGAAAATATTTGCTGAATTGGATTTGACATAAATAATTATTTGTAACTTCAAATAAAAGATGAAAAAATTCTAAGAAAATATACAATCTAAATAACTGGCACATAAAAACACATGTCAGTATCCACAAATATTTTAAATGTTACTTTACCGTTAGGTCTCTGAAGGGATGTAACAACAATCCTAAAGGAAGCTTAGCTTTATTCAGTAAAACCTGTGTCTGTGGAATATTTGTCAAAGTACACCGAAAGGAACTGCAAAAAATATAAACAACATGGACTGCATTAGCTATCAGAAAAAACACACTGTGAAGTAGATAGCTGTAGATAATTAAGAGCATTTAAGGGCATAAATGAAATCATTTGGGTATGTTCTGTAACGGTAGGTAGGAAGGTCCTGATTACTTTAAACATGCACATATGTAACATATGTCAGGAGGCCTAAATTAGACTCAACATTTTCATAGGAGAAAAACAATTACTCTATTATGAGTAGTATGTAGGGCATGGATAGGAAGGAATAGAAAACGTGAATGAAAAGGCATACCTCTGCACCTTTAATAAGGTGGTTCCTTTTTTACTTCCCATTTTTCGTCTGTTGAACTCCTACCCTGAAACTCATTAGTTATCACTTCTGAAACCACCCTCACCCCTGATTACAAGTCAGAAGGAATGACTTTTCCCTCTGTGCTCTGAGATCTATTTCTGCTTCTATGGTATCAATTAGTCTGACTTGCTTTAGTTGGTTGTGTACCTTGTCTGTCTTTTCCATTTGAGATCAGAGATCACTTTGCCCTGTGTCTTCGTAGCACTATTTCTCTCATACAGTAAGTGCTTATAACTTGTTAAGTTATAAGTTAGGATTAGTAGATACAGAATCAATAAAGAGCAACCAAAGAGGTAAAAAGCAGACGTAGGAGAAACCAGGAAAGGAATTTAATTAGAGTGGCTGATAATATGCAGAGATAGCCAGATACATCCTGACCCAGGCTGGTCGAGTTCCTGCTCTGGGACCTCAGGAAGCTTGGCACACTCTCTTCCCAGAGAGCCACATGGTTTGCTCTCTCACTTCATTCAGATCTCTACTCAAATGTTAACTCCTTGGGAACACCTGCCCTGGCTTCTCAATTAAAAACAGTCACTCTCCGCTTTTACTACTCCCTACTTCATAGTTATACTCTGACATTTCATTATACACTTATTAGTTTGATTGTTCAAAGTATGTCTTCCTTAATAAGATATAGGTTGCATGAGACTGGGCAATCTATTCTGTTTATTGCTTCATTCCCAGCACCAGAAGCAGTGCCTGGCACTTAACTTAGAAGGCATTCAGCAATATTTATTGAATAATTTATCTTAATATGTAGGTAAAATTATTATTCCTGTTTTACAGTTGACAATATAAGAATTTGAGAGGTTATGCAACTGGCAAAAAGTGTCACCGTAACTTATCAATGGAACCACAGTAAGAACCTAGATAAGTCTAATTCCAAAGCCTGTACTCCTAATTACTCTGCTTTGCTATTTTGATAAGAGATACTTTCACAGAAAACACAGAACTAAGTAGAAACATATACAGCATTCCCCACCTATGGACTCTTCATACTCATACATATACTGTATTTACCTACTTAGGGAATGACTAACCATTCATAATATAAGGCCATAATCCATACACTTACTGACCTGATAGAAGCTTACCCTCAGAAGGAAGGGCAGCTATTTTCAACCTAAAATCAATGATTATACATTTTTTATAAAAATGATCTTGGCACTGACGGAGGATGGGTGATAGAGCAGGGCAGAAGAGGGTGAGCCTTCGGAGCAGCTCCATTTTCTGTTTTCTGTGTTAAAAACTATATAAGATTTTGGTTGAAAAAGAAGATTATAGTATTTTTAAAAGCTAGAAATCTATTGCCTTCAAAAGGGAAAATACTGGCTCTAAAGAAAAATACTAACTCTCTTAACGCAAGGGAGAAGTTAATGTTGTTCTATGAATCAGAGTTTACTTTATGAGGAAGAGAGATTCCTGGAGTAGGAGGATCTCTTCTGGGGGCAGAGGAATATCCTACTAGGACACAAAAGTACTGAAAGCAGGCAAGAATAGAGAAGTTTTTGTCTTGGAGACACTGTGAAGTAGCTAACAGAGCTCATCCACCCAGAGGACATACCAGGGCTTGGCCACCAGCAGGCTGCCAGCTGAACTTCCCCAGAGGTAAGGAAATGCTCAATGAAAGGAAATCCAAATCTAAATTCAGGCTGGATGAATAAGCCTGGGGGTATCAGTCTTCACATTCTATACTGAGTGGGAAAGAAAATTCAGGGATAAACCATTCATCTAAAACTGTTCTTGTGATTACATAACTTTATTTCCTTTTCAAGCAAGGATTAAAGGGCATAAAATTGTAAAGATTCTACCTTATTTAAAAGACATCAGAAGTTATTACTAGTGAAAAGCGAGGAAAAAAATTTAAGAAAAGAAAATAGTTACATTTGGGTTCCTGAAACCCTTTACTCAAAAAGAAAAAAATTCGTTAGCATTAGGTGATGGGAATGGGACTTGAACTGAACAACGCAAATGGAATTTTACGTCCAGAATGCCTATACAAACTAAATAGAAGTATTCACATAAACAAAACTTCCAATCAAGAAATTAATATCATATTACTTTGACTATGTTTGAGAGACATATAATGTTCTTGAGAAAGTATATTACTTACTACAGATTATAAAATAAATACTTACTCTGGGCTACAGTTTAATTTTTTGAGGTCTAAATTCAAGTTAGGTACAGGAGGCAAAACAGGAGTCATGGGTAAGATATTCCTCTCCTGAGTGAGGTTGACAGGTCTTAGGCTTTCTGGTATTACAGAACTCTGGAGACTCAGTCCTCCCAGACTGGAGGACAGCTGGTTCATACCAGGATACTGCTGAGAGATCAATGCAAAACAAAACAAAAGAACAATACAGCACACATGAATAAAATTTATTATACCATATACAGGATTTTTTATATATAGGATGGAAAAAAAAAAGAAAATTTAAACCTGGCTTGTTAATAGTAGAATGTCTTAATAGGGCAGTTCAATTGAAAGCATTCTTTAAAAAAGCCTCAAAGCAAAGATACTGAATAAATTAAAATATTAGCATCGTTAAGCCTCACAAAATTTCAGCAACAATGCTTTTCAACATCAAGAATTTGGTTTCTCTGAATACAGTTCCTATTGAACAGGCAGCATAATGCTTATGTTTTCAAGGATGTGAAGTAACTGGAACTCTCACATACTGTTAATGGAAGGTATAAACTGGAACATCTGCTTTGGAAAATGTTGGGCAGTAACTGCAGAGGTTGAACATATGGACACCTCATGACCCAGTGACTCCACTTCTAGATATATACAGATTGTGCTTGCTTCGGCAGCACATATACTAGATATATACAGATTAACTTAAAAGATAAGAACAGAAATATCCACAACAGTACTATTCATAATAGCTCACAACTGGAAATTTACCCTAAAGTCCCTCAACAATAAAACAAATGAATAAATTGTGATATGTTTATAATGGAGTACTATGTAACAATGAAATGACTGAACTGCAAGTGTGCAACAAGCATATTGTTGAGCAAAAGAGTCTAGCTAAGAGTATATACAGTATGATGCCACTTATATAAAGTTTAAAAACAAATAAAACTAATCTAATATTATTGGTCAAGACAGTTGTCAATTCTTGTTTGGAGAGTTAGTGACTAGAAATGGCATGAAAGGCGTCTGGCTGCTGATTACATGAGTGTGTACAATTTGTAGAAATGTTTCAAGCTGCATGCTGTTAATTTATACACTTCTACATAATATGGATTACATTTCAGAAAAAAAAAGTTTAAAAAAATGAAAGTTGGCACTAGGATGATGTCTAACAATCTACTTCTAAAAGCTTTGGCTTTAGGAAGCTCATTTCGACTGGGATTAACAACTCAAGTTATTTTTCAATCTGTCTCTGCCTCCTTTATCCAAACTCCCCTGATCTAAAGCTAGAGTATAAAAAGGACTGTGATTACCGAAGAATAGAATGAGGCTATAGTTAAAAATCTAGTATATTAAATATTACTTTTTACTTTTATTCCAAAAACAATCTCTTAACCTTTGCAACATAACCTCCCAAATATGATGGGAAAAGAACGATACTTCCCATTCTCCTATGTCAAAGGTTGGCAAACCTTTTCTTTATAGGCTCACATAATAAATATTTTAAAATTTAAAAGTCACATGGTCTCTTTTGCAACTACTCAACTCTACCACTATAAAAAAGCATGGCTATATTCCAGTACAAGTTTATTTACCAAAGTAGGCAGCAGGCCTGATTTGGCCCAAGAATCTTTTCCTGTCATTATGAAATTTTTTCTTATGTCATCACTTTCTATTTCAAAATAAGTTTTTTTCCTTGCCCAACACTTCCAAGAAATAGATTCTTTCTTTGAACTTGATTTTCTTCTCATTACAATGTACAAATAAATGACATATTATGACTCCAAATAGCAATTTGCCTAAAGCACGCAAGTCAGACTGGAGTGACTAAAAAAGTGCTTCATCTGGACCAATAAAGCCATACAGAAAATCTAACAAAACGGAAGTCAGGGAAGTTTGTGCTAACCAACCATATTTCTCCAGTGCCTCTCCTAGTTTTCTTCTTCCTTTTGAGCCTTAATTCTAAGATTAAATCCCAGAAACAAATGATCTTCCTATTTCCCTCTAATTTTTATTCTTAGTTCACCATAAGATGAAATTTCTATAAAGTTAGTCTACTAAGAGCAGTTTTTTTAATTATGAGTAGAATGATTTTGACATTTCCATCATTTCCTTCTCAATAAATATAAATGCAAAATACTGTTCTGTATTATTAAATTGAGATGGTATTTAAGAGGTGAATCTAAACAAGGTCATGTCAGAATGGGTCATAGCAGTAGTCAAATGACATAAGCACTGACAAGCATTATGTATGTAGAGGTTTTTACCAGTTGTACGTTGTATGTCATAGACAGTTCTTCAAGTTAAGAGGCAGAACCAAAATTGCAAACCACATTTATACCATATCATTTTTTTTGAGGAGGAAACCAGCTTAGTAATACAGGATTTTAAAAAAAAAACAAAAAAATCTTAAAGTTTACTTTAATTTCCCAATAAAAGTAATGCATGCAGATTACAGAGACTCTGAAAAATAAAAGTACAATGAAGAAAAATCACAGCTGATATCTTGATCCAAATTTAACCTCTTTAGAAATTTAATATTTATATTTCCTTTTATCTTTTTCTATGTATGTGCATGCATAAAAATTGGAATAAATTCTATCTATGTTTGATCCAGGCTTATCTGTATTTATACTTATGATCCATCTGAATCACCAGGGATTTGCTAGAACTGATAATAGTTCCATGATTTTTAGAAATGCAATGTCTTTCTATGACTAAATACATACTTGAGCATACTGCTGGAATCCAGAATACGCTGGGTTACCAGGCTGTCCTCCAGGATTCAGTGGTGCTGCAGCATTCTGATAACCAGGCTGAAGAGTGGGATAACCATATCCAAACGGTTTAGCCACTTTTGAAGGCTGAGGGGCAGTGGGTACTGGAGCTGGAGTATGGTCAGTTTCAGGAGCAGGGTCAGGAGCGGGACTGCTTGCTGATGAAGAAAGCATATCTAACAAAGGGAAAAACACGGTGTTAACACCTGAAAACATGACTGTATAAAGACTTGGCTCTTGGGAGAGCCATAACCTTTGGGGTTTCCCTTTTTCTTTTTTTAAATTTTTTATTATGAGAAATTTTGAACATACACAAAAGTAGAGGGAATAGAATAATTATCATCACAATTGTGCTAATCTTATATGTTCCCACCCAACTTTTTTTTTTTTTTAAAGAAGTATACAGGAAAACCTCATTTTGTATCATTTCATGACAAATACTTCATTCAAATGGTATTTCTAACAGATAAGACCTTTATATTTATACTACACATATAAAAAACACTTTTTCCTATTTTCTCTCAGTAGGAATGGGGCTATAAAGCAGAAAACGAAGCAAAGCAATAAAAAGAGTGTCAACTGCTCTTTAACTTGCCTTTTTGATCTGACCCTGACATCTATAAAACCTGTCCATGAAAAGAGTGGCATATTTCTATAATCCCCTAAAAATCTGCATTATTTGTACAGGCAAAACTATGAAAGTATGAAAGTCAGTGTCTAGAATAGTGTCCAGCTCCTAAAACAATGTCTGTTGTGTAATAACTGACAATAGAATTTAATGAATTGATGTTCCTCCTTTATTTAAATTTAGAACAAAAACTAAAATTCAATTAAAACTGTGGAAGAAAAAAACAGTAGAAAATTCAGTCATCATATACAAGAATAGCAAGAAGAAGAAACCCTAAATATTACTCTACTATACATAACCATTATTAACATTTTGGTATATTGACAGCTTTTGTTTTTCAAGTCAAATCTGTAATATAAATGTACTTGAATCTATTTTTCATATGAAAAAATCATATTCTTCACCAGTAATCAGACTTTACAAAAAATATATTCTCAAAAGCATCTGACTTAATAAAATTTATTTTTTAAAAGTTTCTTGACCGGCCAGGTGTGGCTCAGCGGTTGAGCATCGACCTAGGATCCAGGAGATCGGGGTTCAATTCCCCGTCAGGGCACATGCCCGGGTTGTGGGCTCGATCCCCAGTCGGGGGCGTGCAGGAGGCAGCCGATCAATGTCTCTCTCATCATTGATGTTTCTATCTCTCTCTTCCTCTCCCTTCCTCTCTCTGAAATCAATAAAGATATATTTAAAAAAAAAAAAAAGTTTCTGGAGGAATCACATCTTTCTACTGACTCCACTGGCTCTAATTTTGAAGATACATTCCTAGATGTTCTGCCATGCCATCTACCATCATGAGCTAATTAGGTAAGGCTTGGTTTATAGGCTTTTTGGTAACACCCCAGACTTCTTAAAAGGACAAGAGTGTCACATCCTTAAATCTCCTGCTTGTCCCTCATGGTGAGGGAACTATAAGTAGAAAGGTCTCTTGATATCAGCATAAGAAAAAAAGAACTGGAGTCATAAACATGGAGGTCTAAAACTTATCCCCCTCTTTAAGAAATGCACAATAGTTCATACATTTCTACAGCCCTCAAATCTATCCCTGTACCTGACAGGGTAAACTTGCAATTCACTTAACCTTACTGCTACAGTTGCTCACAGGTTTCCTTAAATATAAATAACTACAAAACCTGCCGTAGGTCACTCACTCTCAAAGCACAGTTCATAATAAGATTAAGATTAGTTGATAAATGAATACAAACAAACCAAGGTCTAATTCCAAGGCCATGATCTTTTAACTACACCACAATGGACGTTTCACTTCAGGCTACTCTGAAGCTCATGAAATACTGTATAGTCAGAGCAGTCATTTTGTAATGAATGAAGTAACTCTCCTAGAAATTTTTGATGATATAGCAATTGCTTCTGGAATAGTCCATGACTTCTTACATGCATACACACAAACAGTGGTTCCTGGGGGGACATCTGTAACCACAAAAGACTAAGTAGCTTATTTAAGTATTTTTGAAATATTAAAAGGAAATTCTATACTAAGCTGAGAAGATTAAAGTTTTCTGATTCATAGGATAATGAAGGCAAGACAATGTGTTTAGATAAGTACAGCATACTCCAACTTTAATCCTGGATTATTCCCAGAGTGATAAGAAATAGAGAGAAGGGCAAAATTACTTGTTCTGTTAGTCCTAAGGTATGGAGTCATCAGAGAGAGAAAGAGAGAGGGAGAGAGAGAGAAAGAGAGGGAGAGAGAGAGAGGGAGATCAGGTGTGGCCATCCAGTGATAGGAGATAAGCAAATCAGGAAAATCACAGTACAAGGTACTATAAGAAAAATGACTGTTCATTTAAAAAGGTTAAGTTTGTATTTTTTTCCTTTAACTCCTATTTCTATGTAATGACAAAGTTATTTCCAAATATGGTTAAAAGTAATGCCTCCAAAAACTACATCCAAGTTGGTTAATCCATTTACCTGGTGGAGGCAGCCAGGAGCCATAGGGGGAGTAAAGAGTCAAAGACTACTTATATTCAGAGGCTAGTTGGAAGGAATTCAAGGACCTAAGCATGAGAACAGAAATATAAAATTTATTTAAGGAGTTATTAGCATAAAAAAGGGGAAGAGAAGAGAAAAATTATTCACTATTAAAAGACTTTTAGAAGGAGGAAAAAGATAAAGAGCACGATAACAAAAATAAAATAAATTTCCTTAGGCTGCCAAGAAACATTCATAGCTGTTATAGAACAATTAATGCTATTAAATTAAGGCTGAGAAATACCAGGAAAATGTCCCTTTTTCTGCTAAAAAATGCACCCTGCTAATTATGTATAATATATGTTCATGTTTAAAAGCAATTGGTGGTAACTTTATTTCAAATAAACATTAAATAGGCACAAAACAAATTACCTGGGTAGCTGCCTCCTTCTAGGGCATCATAACTGTTGGGCAGTGGAGAAGCACTGCTTGTGGTGGAAGAGCTGTCAATACCTAAAAGGAAAATCAAAGTGCCAACTAAGTCTAAATGACAATGTATCTTAGAGCAGCCTTTGGCAATTTTAAAGATGCTTTGTTGACTCTAGTGAAAATGTAAAATCACTAATGTTTAAAGACATTTTTTAAACACATAAATAAATTTCTGATATAATAGGGGATGAGAATGAGAGAAGGGAGAAGACGGAGCTAATGAGGGGAATAAAATTTAATCAAATATATGTGATGACATCTTAGAGAATAGATATCACACTACTCAAACACACAAATATAAATTTTAGATTGACAGAAATATTAATACAGTTGTATCTCAAAAACTGCATCTACCAAACTACAAGCTATTAAATACATTTTATCAGTATTAGGATATTTAAAGATAATTAAATTTTAATGACTTTTCTAATAGCATAGTTGTATAAAAACCCTCATAAAAGAGGAGTCTATGGCTTGGGTTGCTACCTAGCCTACTACTAAATTTTCTATGCCTCAGTTTATTTATCTGCAGAATGGAGATTAAATAGTACCTGCTCTACTTAATAAGGTACTATATATGAAAGGCACTCTAATAAATATATTAGACCATAAGAATGTTTAGCCTGGCCAGAGTGGCTCAGTTGGTTGAGCGATGTCCTCTGCACCAAAAGGCTGCCAGTTCAGTCCCTGGTTGGGGTGCATAAGGAAGGCAACCATCAATGTTTCTCTCTCACATCAATGTCTCTCTCTCTCTCTGTACATATGTCTTTGAGTGAGGAAAAAAGAATTTTTATTGTGTGTTCATTCAAAACCTGTAAGATTAATAGAAATGTTGAGTGGCAATTTATGATGAAATTTAGGGATGGGTCACACAGATAGTAAAACATACAATATATTCCATTCATTCACTCAACAAATATTTTATTGAAAGTCTACAATTATCCTAGGTAAATATGCTAGAGTATATAGTGACGAATAAAACAAAAACATGCACACAGTTCCTCTCTTGTGTTAGATAGAGATCTTGGTCTTTTTCACCATAAGACAAAATTCTGACAGAGGTGATCCCTAGCTCATAACAACATTATAAATGGGGCTCAAACTACATTTTAGGTTAATTTTCAACTGTGATATACAAAGGACAGGTATGCATAACTATCTTTCAATGAATAATTTTGGAAAACCATGTGAATTACGTATGTTGACTCATAGCGTAACAGCTAAAGCTTTTTGCATAGGATCATTTTATTACTAGCAAAGAACATGATTTGGAGTAAAAGATTGCAGTTACATTAAACTCTGTCATTTACTTGCTATATAACTTTGGGTAAGTGACAATTATCAATGCTCTCTTCTGCAAAATGAGAACAATTTAAAAAATACCCTATTCTTGTGAGACTTAAATTAGATGCTAAGTATGGGGACCACAAAATATGTGGAAGACACAAAGGGCTTTCTTTGTGATAACTAGAAAAATGGTGTACGCTTATCATTGCTCTTAATTAAGATGGGAAGTAATGGCTCTTCTTTTTGTTCCTTATATTTGTGAATTTATAACTAAAGAGGAATGCTGATATATAAGGTCAAAGTCTAAAAGTGATAGTATTAAAAACAACACACCAAAACCCATATATTCATCAGCAGATGAATGAATAAACAAAACATGTACATCTACACGATGGGATATTACTCATCTATAAAGAGTAATAAAGTACAAATACATGCTAAGTGAAAGGAACAAGACACAAAAGTTCACATATTGCATGATTTCATTTATATGAAATATCCAGAATAGGTAAATCTATGGAAAGTAGATTGGTGGTTCCAGGAGCTGAGAGGAGGGGGAAATGGGAAGTTGCTGCTTAATGGTTACACAGTTTTCTTTTGGGATAATAAAATGTTTAGTTAGTATAGTCCCAAATTTAGAACTAGATAAGTGGTGGGTGCATAAAAACCAAAATGATACAATTAGATAGAGGTGGTGGTTGCACAAGTTGCAAATGTACTAAATGGCACTGAATTGTACACTTTAGTGTGGTGAAGGCCTGGAGTAAGGGCTGGGTGAAGGAGGTTAAGTATTGGGGGGAGGGTGAATAGGAGACATCTGTAATAAAAAATAAACTCAAAAAAAGGTTAATTTTATTATGTGAATTTCACCTCAAAATAAAACAATATGCCAAGATATTTCAATGGGGAAAGAATATTCTTTTCAATAAATGGTGCTGGAACACTAGGTAGCCACATGCAGAGGAATAAAGTTAGAACCCTTCCTTATACTTTACACTAAAATTAACTCAAAAGGGGATCACAGACCAAAATGTAAGCACTAAAACTATAAAACTCTTAGAATATAGGAGTACTGATCTTAGAAACCATTAAACCAAGCAAAATATTGCTTTCTGCACACCTGCTAGCTGGTTTCAGTTGAACAGACAGCTTTGGTACATGTCCCCACTCTTAAACCTTACATAGGCCAAACTTACCTCAGTCACTTCACATCACAATTAGTGACAATAAATACCCTAAGAACAAATGGGGGGTGAGTTTGAATCTAGTACTTGGGAATAATTTTCCCTTATTCTTTTACTGGCTACATGTCGCACACTGAAAGAGGAGGAGGAGGAAGGAAGGAAGAGCTGATCTCTGAGGAAATAAGGGGAGAAGAGATCCCAAGAACAGCTCAGAATCCTTGAAGCTGGGGGAAAGTGTCAGAATGCTTTTTAGCCTTTAAAAAAAAAGACTTAAGCTGTTTTCTCTCTAAAAGACAAGCAACATAGGTCAAGGAACTCCAATGTACTTACTAGTATTGCTCAACTTTAAATTAACCAGGTAATTTGAAATTTTATTTCCTCATAACTTGCAAAAAACATGGAAAAAAGTGTAAGCTAAATTCCATCTCCACCACTTATCAATTGAGAGGAAATGGACAGGACACCTAACATCTCTGAACCACTTCTTATTTGTAACAACAGATCTTTAACGCCTATTCCACAAGGCTACTGTTAATATTAAACAGGTATTAGCCAGACTCAGGAAATGTTCTTCATTTTCTCTCTTCCCTCCACCTCTCCCCTCAGTGCTACTAAAGGGGAGAAAAGGAAAAACAAGACATGACCCCCATGACTGACAAAGACAATTGTTTTTTCTCAGACTTCGACCGAACACTCCTTAACATTTATCATTGCTAACTGAATTACTTTCAATTGTAAAAATGATTTCCTTCTTTTGGTAATGCTATGCTGTATTCTTCTTCTTCAATTTTCCTGCTACCTTAGCCTAAGAACTCATTTTTCCCACCAGATTACTCTAAGAGCCTCTAGTTTCAATAAGCTCCAATGAATTCTTTTGTAAGAGATCTTTCTAAAGTGCAACTCTGGCTGTTACTTTCCCATGTAAACTCCTTCAGTGACTCACTACCTTCAAGATAAAATCCAAACACCTTAATAGGAAATATCATTATCATCTATAGCTTCTGTGACTTTAAGTGAAATGATGTATAATGAAATCAATTTGACCATAGGCTAACTGATATAAACAAGAGTCAAGTTCTTTCAATAGCTCATTAACTTTATAACAAAATGATGTTATTCAAGGATCTGCTGTGCTAGGTTCTCAAAAATATCTTATCACCCAGCCATCCCACCCAACCTCATTCAATTCTTCTGGCAGACCATAGGTCCCAAATTCACTACAGTTCCCCAAATATGCCATCTTCTCTAAAGCTTCTTGCTTTGTTTTAAAAAGTAGCTCTGTCTCTCCCCAGGTCCCTCATCTGCCTAATTCCAACTTCTCTTTTTAGATTCAGCTCAGGTACCCACCCTGACCCCTCAAAGAATCTTCCCTGTCATCCTACCCTACACCAAGTTCTAGATTCTCCTATATATTCCTATAAAACACTATGACTGCCCTGGCTGGTGTGGCTCAGTTAGTTGGGCATCGTCCTATGCACCAAAAAGTTGCCAGTTCCGATTCCCAATCAGGGCCCATACCCAGGTTGTAGGCTCAATCCCCAGTGTTTCTCTCTCTCCCTCTCCCTTCCTCCCTAAAAAAACAAAAACAAAACACCACTATGGTTAACATAATAGTCACTGTAATTTTGTTCTGTATTACAAACTAGACTTTGAGCTCATTGGGTTTTTATCAAGCTTACAAATGGGCCATTATCAAATAATGTTTATAAATACACTTTTACAGAGAAATATTGAGATAGCTGGTATTTATTATCCAGTTAGTTTACAGGCACATACATATAAATAACCCATATCCATATTATTGATTAAATACTATACATCTGCAGCAGGCTGGAAACAATAAAGCATTTGCAAATGTTTAGTATTTCAGTTAATTAGATTTAGGGATAGTCTAAACATCCAATCACCATTTGAATACCATTTCTATTTGAAAGTACCTTTTTAATTCTACTCTAGACACTGGTACCAAATCCCTTTCATTTTAGCCCCAATACTCTGCCCCCTCTCACTGTAGAGAAAGATGGAACTTCCAGCTAGAACCATCATATATACAGGATGTTTGCAAATTGGATGTTCAGGTAACAAGTACCACCTGCAAATACATAACCACATTTTAAAAAATGTATACAAATACCAAAACCCCTCAAACGAATACTTTTCTTAATGGCATGGACATGCTTTTATATCTTTCACAGACCCAGGACCTGGTTTAATAAAGAATATATTAAATATCTTGAATTCAGTTGAAAGATATTTACTTGTTTAAATAAAACAACAGTACACCCATTAAAGGGAAAGATACGTTTGAACTCTTTTAAAAATTCTCTTGGGGGTGGGGCGAAAGGGGAGATGTTGGTCAAAGAACATAACCTTCCAGTCATAAGTTGAGTAAGTTTGGGGGAATCTAATGTACAGCATAGTGATTATAGTTAATAATACTGTATTACTTTTAAAAAAAGAATTCCCTTTGGAAGTTAGACCTAAGCAGGCCAATATTGCCTTGTTATCTATAGGAGTAAGTTGTTCTGTATCAAACTACCTTTTAACACACAC